ATACACTGCTTTACAGAGTTGGGGAACAATGAGTGTGAAACACTGAATGTCAAAATGCTGTTCAAAGTACCATAACAATTCCTAAAAGGAAAGTAAATGTTATTGTAGAGCTCTGCAGTAGAATTATACCTCAGACTTTTTTTTTTGATATGTTGCTTAGTTTTGCTGAATATTTTTTGCCCTCCTTTTAAAAATTCTTCATTATAAGGGATGGTTTTCTAGAAGAAGTTGGGGAGTGTGATATAGTGGGAAATTCAGGTGATATAAAAACAGAAAAAAAACCCAAGATTTATTTTTAAAAAGGCTTAAGAAGAGAAAGGACATTCCGTTTGTTTGGGGTTGTTTAGGAAAAAATGACTGAGTTAGATGGTCTCTGGGGATTCCATCTAGGCCTGTGATCAGAGGAGGACTATGTACATTTGTAACTAAAAACAATATATCTTTCCATAGCACTCTCTGTATTTCAACATACTTTCATATCTATTATCTCATTTGATCATTCCAATATCTGAATTAAGTAGAGTAGATGTTGGGTGATACTGTTACTCTTTTACCCATGAAGAGACGGAGGAAATGGATTGTGGCTTGTCAAAGGGCCCACACAGCAGCCAGACTAGGACTTGGGTTAGGGGGGAACTGTAGGGGACACTTATTGAAGATTTGGTGGGGGGCGGTATCTTATACTGAATACCATATTTTTAGAAAAGGGGCTGCCTTTTCGAAGCATAGAGAGGCCTCATACTGAAATAATGAGACGGCAGCAATTTGGCAAATTTTGTTCCTTTGGTCTAGATTTTGTTCCCTTGCTCTAGAATTTTAATTTGGCTTTTTGAAATTCTCTTTATTGGATTTTTTCCATAAGTAGATGCACTATAAACATTAAATAAGAAACACAAAATAAGAAAGCCAAATTATACATGAAAAAAAAGGGTTTAAATAACCCACTGAGGGAAGGGGAAGAGAATACTAATGAACAGGAAATCAAGAGATATAAACAAATTCACATAAATTAAAACCAAGTTGAAGTTACAGGGAATTATCTATGGTCAAAATAAAAATAATGGACAGAACCCTTAAAATAGTTTGGTTAGCATGACTGAACTGACCATGTACGTTCCTTGTTACCTACCTATGACATCTGGCATGTCAGTTTTCTCCAGATCACTTCATTTTCTGAAAGTTTCTCTCCCAAACTATATTGACAGGCCTAGCAGAATGTTTATTCAGATTACTCAGGTAACCTATCATTCCCTCAACCTTCAGAGTAGCTTTTCTCTTTAAATCACCCAAGACAGGCCTTCAACAGCTTTCTTTGATCTGGTCAAATCCATGAAGCTACAGGTTACCCAAGGAAGACAGATGAAGGTCTTCCAGCAAGACCTGTCATTTGTTGGAGAGGTAGACAAGCCTTGGTCTTAAAACATTTGTAATGGCATTGGACATAAGATAACAATGAGCTCATCGGGGGGTAGGTCAGGATGCTATCCCCACTCTCTGAGGCATAAACTTTAAGTAGCCGACACTCAAGACACAGTCTCAGGCAGGTTCTAGTTGAAGTCTTCATCATATTCCTCACTCCTCATTGGAGACTGCCAAAGGAGGGGTAGGTACAATTATATAACCGCCATTGGGTGGTGGGGAAAGTGGAAGGATCCAACCTACTGCAGCCCTGAGATAGAAGATCGTCCTCTGAGTATATGTGTATTTAAAGGAGGAAGGCAGGGACAGGAGATGGGACTAACGAGTTAACTAACTAGACCAGTTAATTTGTGAAACACATTATTTACCATAATCAAACAGGTCAGTAGTTATGCCTATCTATGTTTGGCTCCATCATCTCAGAGGGAATCTGAGTATCCTGAACAACATACTTAAATTGATTTCTGAGCCTGATAGGAGGGAAGGGAAAAAACCTCATAATGCCTTGGAACTCCAATGCGACAAACACCAAGTTCCACTCTAAACCTTGCTGAATCATCTACCTGACTCAGCTATTTCCTAATGAACCTAAGGACATCCTCACTGGTAGTGTTTGCTACGTTTACAATTTTTTTCTGCTTTCTATAGACTACACTGAGGCCCTCTCCCTCCCTATCTTCTTCATAGTCAAGGCTACTCTTTTCAAAGGCCAACTCTCTGGGTCAACTTTTGTCAGGAGGTAGGAGACTTCTTTCCTCCCTACCTCCCAGGTGTGCCCAAAGATACTTGACCATTATGACTCATATTTCTCTAGTGTCCTATAATTTCCAAAATGGTGTCCTCACAACCACCATGTAAGTAGCTGATGTATCATTATTCTCATTTCAGGTATGAAGAAACTGATGCTCAGAAGGAACTCTGCCCCAAGGCCACATGACTAGTAAGTAATAAAGCAGAGGCTAGGGCCCAGGTCTCCTAACTCCAGATCCACTGCTCTTCCAAGTGAGGTCTCATAATGAAAAAGGTAGGAAAGCTCTAATCTACAGCAAGAACCAGTATGTACCTTGTATATTTCATTTCTTTGGTAGTTTTTTTGACCCAGTTTCACCAGCTACTTACATCTCTTTCCTCTTATTTCTCTCATCAAGAGTAAATGACATTATATATTTGAAAGGAATAGCAAGATGTGTCTGGTAGATTTGCAGTTTCATGTTCAATCTTTTTTTTATTGTACTATCTTATGGAAATGCTAGTTTTATTCCATAAATATGTATTAATGTAATAGAAAATAAAAGGGAAAAATGAAAAATAAAACAAAAGAAAACCCTGTGTTGGACTTTAAAAAAAAGAACAAATTGCATTGTTCTTTCTCCTCTTTCCCCCCCTTTTTTTGCAATAAAGCTCATCAAATTTGATAACAATTAGCATTTGTGTAGTACTTTTCAAATATGATCTCACAACAGCCCTGGGAGGTAGGCGCTATTATTATCCCCTTTTTACATGTGAGGAAACTGAGGCAGACAAAGGTTAAGTCTGCTTTCCCAGGGTCACAAAGCTAATGTCTGAGGCTGGATTTGAATATTCAGGTATTCCTGACTCCAGGGCCACTTTTCTAACCACTGGGCCACTCCTCTGATAAAAAGACTTTACATTGAGCAGAACACCAGATAGCTCTTATCAGAGAACCTAATGAGACAAGGAAGGCACCCAATTTAGTCAAGGGCTTTAGTCATAAGAGGATTTTTGTGGCAAGCTCTTCCTAAGTCCAGATTCCCCTTTCTAAGACATACTCTGACCCTGAAGGTTCAGTTCATGGGAATGGAAGTAGATATTAACACAGCACAACAACAGGGAAGCTCTTTTTAGTTGTACTGCTCATGGCTATGGCTACAAAAAAATACTAACTGTTATTCTCATCTAGGATGTTAGAGGAATTCCTGAATTGGGTTGTTGAAAAGATTGCAACTTGAATTCATTCATAAGAAAGATCGGGATAGGGATTTGACCCATGATTTCCTCGGTATAGGGAATTCTTGATGGAGAAACTTCTTTTACATTTGTGTGCAGATATTCATTCAGAGAGAGTTACCCAGAGCACTGAGACATGAATTGACTTTCCCAGGGTCATATGGTCATTCTGGGTCAGAGTAGGGACTTAAACTCAAGCTCTGAGGCAAGTTCACTATTGCTTATTCTATGTTACCTCTCTGGAAACTCTCTAGAAAAGATAAAAAGGGCAGCTACTTATATTAGGGATCCTCAGCTCCTTATGCAAGATGGAATTTTCCCAGAACCCAGTGGGATACTCTCCACCTTTCCCATGTGCTCACAATCTATTAGGATATGCATCACCCGAGTGTGTGTGTGTGTGTGCACGCGCGCGCGCACACCTCCTAGGTTCCTTGTTAGCCAGCCCTCCTGCAGCTTCTCCCTATGAGAGCCAGAAGGACCATTCCCTCCCAAGCAAAGGTCAAGGTCCTCCTGCTGAAGCTCAATGAAGCATCAAGCTTTGATAGGAAACAACAGTTCACATTAACATCCATTTTGGTACAAACATATCTGGGGCAGGGCTCTCTCTCCTCCTGTATTTTTCCCACCCTAGAATGTGGGGGAATGGAATGAGATCAATTAAGCATCTACCAGAACCATCCTCAGTGGCTGGATAAGAAGTATGGAGTAGGGGGGTCCTTAGAGTATCATTTTTAAAGGGATGCTTCAAAGCAAACTTTGTTGTCTAATCTTAAACCACTTGGGTGCTCTTTCTTGGTTTTGGTCATTCCCTGCAAAGTCTTCCTAAAGGGTTGCCAAAATTTCCCTTGATTCCAAAGGGAAAAAGCAATGATTCTCAAAAGCTCATTTTGTTGGCTATCCAGCAGAAAGGGATGGGGATCTTTATTTCCCATAGGATTTTGCTCTGCTTCACTTGACAGAGATGTCTTGAATCCTTAATAGGGCAATGGTAACGAAGGGGGAAGATACCATATTTAAAAGATATCCCATAAGTGGATGGACTTCTGCCTGACTTTATTAGTGGAGTGGATGGAAGGGTGCTAAGTGATCTCAGTGAATTGTGTTTTAAAAAGAGCAATGGATTTGGAACCTGAGAACCTGGCTCTGCTATTGTGTGACCTTGGACTTAGCCTCCTTTCTCAGGCTCTTCATATGTTAAAAAGAGGAGATTAGACTGTAAGGTCCCTTCCAACTCTAAATCTATGATACTCCTAGGATCTCGTGACTAGCTGAATTCTGAAGTCCTTTTCAGCTCTTAATTGGCGCTCAGCTATGGACATTTTTTACTCATCTCCTGACAACAAGTATCCTGAATGAGAAGCTCACTCCAAAGTCACTGTCTTGGGTATGAAGATGGAGAAGTAGTCATCAGTGTCAACCAGGGCAGGAAGCTATAGTGAAACAGACCAAGACACAGAGGAATAAATGCATGATGCAACACATCTGTGGAAGCAGGGAGAGAGGAGAGGAGGCAACAGACCAACCGATCACTCTTTCCATTTCCAGAGCACCTTCCATCCAAAGGATCCCAAAGCATAGGACAGACCATTAGAGATATAGGGATCACTCACCCGCTGCTGGAAGGTAGCCACCTCTGGGGTGAAACGCGGTAGCCAGTCTTATTCTGCGCCAGCAGCACTATGCAATTGGGTTTTTAGGAAGGGAAGTGAAGAATAACTTATCCAATGGCAACTGTGAATACCTATTGTTCTAGAGGAGCCCCTACATTGATACCAATAGGCAGCAGGCATGCAAAACACACAACAGATATTTCCAGCACACAGAAGCAGCGTATGCTGTTGATGCTCATGCTGATATAGAGTATATGGTATGCTCACTACCATACACTGTACATATAGGATGACAGCTCAACTTAGCACAGCGGGCATCTCACACACATATATACATGCAATATGCAAATATTTATCATACATGCATGCACACGTGTATATATACATGCATTTGCATAAATGTTATGGGTAATCTGTATAAACAATAACATGACCAATTATGTAGTTGAGGTGCAGGCACCCAGGATGCCAGTCACTGAAAAATAGCAGTGGTATATAATTTGTTGTTGTTCAGTCATGTCTGACTTTTTGTGACTCCTTTTGGGGTTTTCTTGGCAAAGATACTGGAGTGGTTTGCCATTTCCTTCTCCAGCTCATTTTAACGATGAGGAAACTGAGGCAAACAGATTAAGTGATTTGCTCAAGGTCACACACCTAGTATATCTCTAAGGGCAGATTTGAATTCAGGTCTTCCTGACTCCAGTCTTAGTGCTCTATCCACTATGCTGCCTAGCTTTCCCAACCCTAGTTCCCCTACATATGTCATCTTCCTCCATTAGAACATAAGCTTCTTGAGGGCAGATGCTCTCATGCTTATTTGGATTTGTATCCCTTGTCCTTAGCACAGTGCCTGACACATAGTATTTGTATTTTATCTGTCTATCTATAATATGTCCCTAGAAAAACTTCATGGCTTTAACTTTCTCCTCTTTTGATCTCTTCTAGATTAGAGAGGCATTTACTCTTAATAATTTAACAACTTGTACTTTCTTTACCTCCTCAAAGTGAGATAGGCTCACATGCCCACTAGTTTAAGGAGTCAGATCTTAGAGACAAAGGTAGTCCCTTCAGCATTTTAGTCTGTCTTCTTCTGGGCTAGAACAAAAACCAGCTCTCAGTGGCAGCCTCAATATCCTTCAAGAGACATGGAACATTGGGGTGGGGGTGGGGGGAGATAGGAATATTTCCCGTTGTCTTCTCTTACCAACAAAAATGCTGCCTATAGAGGTGGTATAGCCAGCCCAGCTGGCTGGGAGGGAGGTGACTGCTTCTTTACTTATGAATTTTTTTTTTTAAATTTAGAAACATCAAAGCAAACTCCTACACCCTAAGTAGTGAGGTAGATGAATAGGAATAAGTTCAGTGAAGAGACTGAAACAGCCTCTTGATGGACCTCAAGGCAATGAATCAGCAGCAGCCAGTAAGAATGTTTTCCCCAATATCCCACTGTCTAGTGAGGACAAGACAATTATAGCATAGGCCAGGGGTGGAAACCTGTGGTCTCAAGGCCACATATGGCCTTCTAGGTCCTTGGGTGCCGCCTTTTGACTGAGTCCAAGTTTTACAGAACAAATCCTTTATTAAGGAGATTTGTTCTGTGAAGTTTGGATTCAGTCCACGGGCCCCACTTGAGGAGAGAGAGGGCCACATGTGGCCTTGAGGCTGCAGGTTCCCCACCCCTAGTGTAGATCATATTTTAGTACACACATCATGGTGTAGAAAGAGCCAAGAAATAAACAACTTGATATCCATTGATGGATCATGAGGATCAGCTCATTGAGGGATTTAGATATGAGGGAACCAGAGACTGGGCTAAATAGCCAACGTAGTGATCAGAAGTGACTGAGAAGTAATATAGCAGATACACGAAGAGTCTAAGTTAGGATTGTCAAACACGCAGCCACAGGCTGCAATCTACCCACCACTTCTGAGTGTACTGAACCAGATTAAAATGTAATTCGGAAATATTTTTTAAAAAGTAAATTAAAATACAGTAAAACAGAAAATGTTAATGTGGTTTTCCAATATGCCTGTAGGAATTCTTATTACAGTATTTTTTGCTACTGGTCTGAGGCACAGAAAATATCCTCTCTGGTTGTTTTCCTTAGGAAAATACAGACACAACATAAGAAAACACATTTTACTCGCTTATTCAGTAAACTGGTGGGATCAAATATAACAACCCCTGTTTGGTTTTTAACACTGTTCATAACCTAGCCCCTTCCAACTTTTCCAGTCTTTTTACACCTTACTCCCTTCCATAAACTCAATGCTCCAGTGATTCTGGCCTCCTTGCTATTCCTTGCACAAAACACTCCGTCTTCCAACTTTGTGCATTTCATTGGCTGCCCCTGCAGGCTTGGAACTCTCTTTTCTCTTCATCTGTGCTTCCTGGCTTCCTTCAAGTCCCAACTTAAATCCCACCTTCTACAGGAAGCCTTTTTTTTCTGAAAATGCATGCCAGCTTATCCCCAATTTATCCTATAAACATCTTATTTGTACATAGTTGTTTACGCATTGTCTTAGACTGTGAGCTCCTTGAGGACAGGAACTGTTTTTGTCTTTCTATGTATCCCTAGCACTTAGCATAGTGCCTGTTACATTGTTGTTCAGTTGTGTTCTACCCTGTGGACCATACCGTTCATTGGTTTTCTTTGCAAAGATACTGGAGTGGTTTGCCATTTTCTTCTCCAGTGGATAAAGTAAATAGGGGTGAAGTGACTTGCCCAGGGTCACACAGCTAGTAAGTGTCTGAGGTCAGGCCTGACTGCAGGACTAGCACTCTATCCACTGAGCTACCTAGCTGCTTCCAAATGCCTGGTACATAGTAGGTACTTTATAAGTATCTGTTGCTTTGCCTAAACTTGACCTATGAGATCACAAATGATAAGAGATGAAGCTGTGCTATTACTTTTGTCTGACATACGAGTGTGCCAGTGAGATCACATTACTCTCAAATAGCAGGATTAGCATCTCTACATATTTAGAAGCATACTTGTACTGAATCTATTCATTATTGGATAGAGCAGAACTTTTAACATTTCTCAACCCAGAATTTACAGCAGCCCATGGCAAGACCAAAGTTACGTGAAAACTATTTGTTGCAAATGTCTAACTTGGTATATGTTTTGGATGGTCCCCTCACAAATTCCCAGCTTTATGTGTGAGATAAATGCCACCTCATGCCCAACTGTATGCATTTAATGACCCTCTTAATATTATTCAAGTGGTATTTTTGGGTGCTGAGCAGGATGGGGCCATCCCTCTAAGCCAGCCTCTCTCTGATTTGCAGTACCTTTTCTTGTAAATATTTGCCTTTAAACATTCACTGCTCCTAAATATGGCATGATTAAACCTTCATTCCAGAAGGTTTAGGGTCATGGTGGGAAATGGGTTTTCCCAACCCAATGAAAGAGTCTGAGAGTCATTATGACTCCTCGTCCCCTCCCCTTCCTCCTCCTCCTCTTTCTTCTTCTTCTTCTTCTTCTTCTTCTTCTTCTTCTTCTTCTTCTT